CTATTTTACATTATTCGGACTATTGTATCTCATCTTTGTTTTTGATATAATTTATCACAACGTTTCGGCCCTTCAGTATCTGTCTATATTCCTGAGATGAGGTATTATGTACACTATTTACATTATTCTGACTATTGTCCTCATCTTTGTTGCCATACTTATCACAACGTTTCGGCCCTTCAGTATCTGTCTATATTCCTTAAATGAAATATCATGTACACTATTTAAATTATTCTGACTATTGTCCTCATCTTTGATGCCATATTTATCGCAAGGTTTCAGCCGTTGTACGCTCCGGTCTTCTTCAGGTGGTTGGAATTTCGAACTGAACCCTTTATTTCGCTACCTGGGGTAGACTCTTCTAGTTCCACGTGCCATGTCTAATAGACGTCAGTTATCAGTTTTCTCCTGTTAATTCCTCTCTCCAAGTTCTCCACTGCCTTAAACAGGTATTGAACTCACACTTTTTGGGTCCTGTCACTGTATCTAACTATTTATTGCAGCTCATCTCATTTCACCAAAATTTACCTTGAAGGAATTAACAGGAGATAACTGATAACTAACATCCATTAGACACGGCACGTGGAACTAGAAGAGTGTACCCCAGCGAGCGAAATATTGGGTTTAGTTTACCATCCCAACCACTAGAAGAAAGACGGAGTATACAATGTCCGTATGGTTGTGATAAATATGGTAACAATGATGAGGACAATAGGCTGAATAATGTAAATAGTGAACAAAATTACGAATAATACATTTTACAGTCTACTTACCAGCAATATATTTGGAAAAAAAATTAAAATGACCATTCATTGGTATAGTAAAATTACCAACAATATATTTTAATAGTAAAATTGAAGACATGGCATACATTGTCAAAAAATTATATTGCATTGATTACTCTTCATTTTTTACAGTTCACTCTGTACAAGGCCCTGGTGCCACTCGAGGTAGTAGATTAAAGTAAGAGGCAGTTTGTGCGGACAGGGCAGGAAGATAATGGGTAACCCTAGATTTGAACAGGTTAACATTGTAGAGATCGGTGTAACATACTCTTGGGAGTTGGTTTCACAAATTCAAGCTGTTCGTGAGGAATTTAATTCTCACCAATGGAATTATTTCTTGAAAGGTTTTCACTCCTTGCTTGATTTTGTAAGATTATTTAGTTAAAAAATTAAGTAATTAAAATTTAATCATGAATTAATTATAAACATTGAATTTTCTTTTTTATAATGTCGGCATTAAATAACTCATATAGGTGTTGATATGCCGCTAAACAAAAAAAAATCAAATCAAAACATATTATATATATATATATATATATATATATATATATATATATATATATATATATATATATAAATATAAAAATAGTGCATAATTATCAGCCGTTATTAAACAATATTTATTATGAAAAAAACATAATTCAGCAATAACATTTTTAAATATGATTATCAACACGCATTTTTATGATCTGAAAATAAGATAATTTTTTTGTAAAAAAAATAAACAAAACAGCAAGTTTTATTAAAAAATAATGCACCTACAATAACGCCTGATGCACCAACCCAATATATATATATATATATATATATATATATATATATATATATTAATAATGAGTCCAGAAGGTCTTTAGAAATTTATTTCCTGAAGGTCTTTAGAAATTTATTTCCTGAATATACAAAAATATATTCATCTCTTCACACCGAAAATATATATATATATATATATATATATATATATATGCACACACACACACACACACATATATATATATATATATATATATATATATATATATATATATATATATATATATATATGTGTGTGTGTGTGTTTTTCAGATAAATTCTTCGTTTTTTTTCCATACAAAAATATATTCATCTCTTCACACCGACATTTTTCTTAAGAAATGGAGTCAATTTAATCAAACAAATTGAAAAGTGAGAGGAAGAAAGAAAATAAAAGTTTTAATATAAGGTTTTTTTTCCTTTGGTGGTAAATGGAGAAATAGAAATATATATATATATATATATATATGCACACACACACACACACACACATATATATATATATATATATATATATATATATATATATATATATATATATATATATATATATATATATATTTTCAGATAAATTCCTTCGTTTTTTTTCCATTTATTTTAATCCTATTAGTCTTCAACATTTTTTTCTTAAATCCAGAGAATCTGACTGGTGACCGTATCATGAGTGCTTCCCATCTGATGGGCCAATACCTAAGTGGATTGGTGCAGCTCCTCGTGGAAGAGCTTGTTCAATCGATCCTCATTGAACCAAAAAAATGGTCTTCACTGGTCTTCAATGGTATTCACACTTCATCTCATCTCAGAGATCAAGCGTGAATACCATTTTTGTGCAGTTCATTTTGGGAGAGCGCCTTCTCCTTACACGGCACAAATGTCTCTTGCAACTTTGGTAACTTTCGAACATTGAGTGAAAGTGAATTGAAGCCAGTGTCGAAAATGTCCGAAAAATCTAGAATTCAATCAAATTTCGAAAATCATAAATAAAAGTTATTAACGAAGAACACTACCACAAAAAATTTAAAAAAAAAAACACTACGCAAAAATATTTTGCGAATAATTCAAATAACATATACATACGAGGAATACATACGAGCTCTGATCAAAAATTTTAGATCCTTTTGCTATGGTAATAGAACTAAAGTACGTAAAGGTAAGACACTTGGCACATACTGAAATACTAAGATATAACGCTCTCGCCCACTTCCGTTCTTTATAGCAGTGCTTGGATGGGAAGTGTACAGAGTGTGGTCGGCTCGCCACACCACAGAGATTCCATCAGGGACCATGGCTTATGCAGCAGTTTTTGGCCAAGGGCAACATTCCTCAGGTCTGACAGCCACCCTATTCTCCGGATCTCACCCCATGCGACTTGTTACTTTTTTCAAAAATCAAATCCGACTTGAAAAAGACAATATTTCAAGATGTCGAAGCAACCCAGCAGAATGCGACCAGGAAGCTGCTCTCTATCACTAAAAATGAATTCCAGGAATGTTTGTATCAATGGATAATGCGTGTGGCTTCAAAAGTGTGGCTACTTCGAAGGAGATTAAATGCCGAATTGATATGTGTTGTAGTTTTATTTTCATATCACCAGATATTTTTGATCAGACATCGTATATTACGATGGTTTGGCATTTTTCACGACTTATTAACAATGATAACGTTGGATGGTTTTCATACTTCATAGTAGATAATTAATGCATAATTAGTTGATAATTAAACAGATACATTACAGCCGACGGGTATGATATGTTTCTAAGTATAATATTAATAGCTTTCATGTATTGCCGATAATTAAGGCGCATCTGGTTACAATAATTTTATTGTATGAGTGATTTTGATATGAATTTTGTGTGGATTATTATACGGACTGGTTTTATTTAGAGTAATTTTTATTTGTTCGTCAACAATGTAATTGTGGAATCCGTTGGTAATAGGAGTTTGATGTTATCTAATTCTTTTAGAAAAAGATGACGAAAAATCGCATTACGGTTGAAAGGCAATTTAACCTGTGCACAGTGAGATTAAAAAAGTTTTAATGATGGCGTGTTGCTGAAGTATGATATGAAAAGCATATTTTGAAATGTTTACTTACAAGCTTCTAACACAATAATAACATAATTATTCAGCACCTAGAGAATCACACAAAAATTCTTAACAGGCAATCAGTGTACATTCTAGTTGTACTAGAAATACATGTGAAAATTTCACCGCTTTCTGTTTGAATTTTCTTTTTCTTTCTTTCTTTTATTGAAATCAAACAGCGTTTCTGGTATGTCTTTTCTGTTTCCGTCCTTTCTTGTCGTCGAAACGAAACAGTTCATTATTTATGAGGTATCGGCAGGGCGTTTCTTTCTTTCTTTCATTGAAATCAAACAGCGTCTCTGTTTCTTCTTTTCTGTTTCCGTCCTTTCTTGTCGTCAAAACGGAGCAGTTCATTATTTATGAGGTATCGTCAGGGTGTTTCTTTCTTTCTTTCATTGAAATCAAACAGCGTCTCTGGTATGTCTTTTTGTTTTCCGTCCTTTCTTGTCGTCGAAAAACGAAACAGTTCATTATTTTCTGAGGTATCGGCAGGGCGTTTCTTTCTTTCTTTTTTTCTTTGTCAAACAGCGTCTCTGTTATCTTTTCTGTTTCCGTCCTTTCTTGTCGTCAAAACGGAGCAGTTCATTATTTATGAGGTATCGTCAGGGTGTTTCTTTCTTTCATTGAAATCAAACAGCGTCTCTGGTATGTCTTTTCTGTTTCCGTCCTTTCTTGTCGTCAAAACGGAACAGTTCATTATTTATGAGGTATCATCAGGGTGTTTCTTTCTTTCTTTCATTGAAATCAAACAGCGTCTCTGGTATGTCTTTTCTGTTTCCGTCCTTTCTTGTCGTCGAAACGAAACAGTTCATTATTTATGAGGTATCGGCAGGGCGTTTCTTTCTTTCTTTCATTGAAATCAAACAGCGTCTCTGTTATGTCTTTTCTGTTACCGTCCTTTCTTGTCGTCAAAACGGAGCAGTTCATTATTTATGAGGTATCGTCAGGGTGTTTCTTTCTTTCTTTCATTGAAATCAAACAGCGTTTCTGGTATGTCTTTTCTGTTTCCGTCCTTTCTTGTCGTCAAAACGGAACAGTTCATTATTTATGAGGTATCGGCAGGGCGTTTCTTTTTCTTTTTCTCACTGAATTCAATCAGCGTCTCTTTATGTCTTTTCTGTTTTATTGGTCCTTTCTTGTCGTCAAAACGGAGCAGTTCATTATTTATGAGGTATCATCAGGGTGTTTCTTTCTTTTTCTTTCATTGATATCAAACAACGTCTCTGGTATTTCTTTTCTGTTTTTCCTTTCTTGTCGTCAAAACAATTCAGTTCATTATTTATGAGGTATCGGCAGGGCGTTTCTTTCTTTCTTTCATTGAAATCAAACAACGTCTCTGTTATGTCTTTTTTCCGTCCTTTCTTTCGTCAAAACGGAACAGTTCATTTCTTTTTTCTTATCTTTTTTCTTTCTTTCTTTCTTTCTTTCCTTTCTTTCAAACAGCGTTTCTGGTATGTCTTTTCTGTTTCCGTCCTTTCTTTCGTTCCAACGGAACAGTTCATTATTTATCTTCGTCAGGGGTGTTTCTTTCTTTCTTTCTTTCTTTCTTTCTTTTCTTTCTTTATTTCTTTTCTGCTTCCGTCCTTTCTTGTCTTCTCTTTTCTTTCTTTCTTTATTTCATTTTTCTTTCTTCTTTCTTTTTCTTTCTTTCCTTGAAATCAAACAGCGTCACTGGTATTTCTTTTCTTTCTTTTCTTTCTTTTTTCTTCTTTCTTTCAGTTCATTATTTATTTCTATCTTCTTTCTTTTCTTTTTCTTCTTTCTTTTTTCTTTCAATCATTATTTCTTTTTTTTTTTTCATTTTTTCTTTCTTTATTTTCTTTCTTTCTTTTCTTTCTTTACTTTCTTTCTTTCTTATTTTTTAAACTTTCTTTATTTCTTTTATTTTGTTCTTTTATTTTGTTTTCTTTCTTTTTTTCATTGCTTTAACTTTTTCTTTTCTTTTTTCATTTCTTTCTTTTCTTTTCTCAACTTTCTTTTTTCTTTTTTTTTTGTTTTTTCTTGTCTTCTTTCTTTTTTTTTTTTTTTTCTTTATTTTTATTTTCTTTCCTTCTTTTCTTTCATTTTTTCTTTTCTTTTTTTTTTCCTTTTTTACATTCAACGTCTTTTTTTTTTTTTTTTTTTTTCTTTCTTTCATTCTTTCTTTCTTTTTCTTTTCTTTATTTTATTCTTTCTTTCTTTTTTCTTTTTTTCTTTCTTTCTTAACTTTTTTCTTTTTTTCAGCAATCACTAATATTCATCCATATTTTTTTCTTTCTTTTTTTTTTTCTTTCAAATTTATTTTTTTTTTTAAATTTTCTTTCTTTCTTTCTTTATTATTTTCTTTCTTTCATTCTTTTTCTTTTATTTAACATCTTTTCTTTCTTTTAGAATATTTTCTTCAAAAGATTTTTTTTTTTGTCTTCTTTTTTTCTTTAATTTCTTTCTTTCTTTCATTTCTTTTTTTTTTCTTTCTTTTTCTTTTTTTTTTTTTTTTTTTAATTTTCGACAAAATTCTTTTCATGATTTTTTCTTTCTTTTTTTTTTTTTTTTTCAAAATTTTTTATTTTTTTCATTTGTCTTTTTTATTTTTTATTTTCTTTTATTTTTTTTTCATTTTCTTTGCAATTTTTTTTTTTCTTTTCGTTCATTCTTTTTCATTTCTTTTCTTTTATCTTTCTTTTTTTGAAAAATTTGCCATTATTTCTGGATAAATTTTTCTTTCATTCTTTTTTCTTTTTTTTTTCTTTCTTTTTTTTTTTTTTTCATCTTTTTTTTTTCATTTAATGTCTTATTTTTTAAAAAAAAAATCTTTCGTCTTTTCTCAATTTTTTTTCAGAAAAATCCATTTTTTTTTTTTGAAATCTTTCTTTTTTTTTTTAGCAATCTTTCATTTTTCAATTAAAAAAAAGAGATAAGTGTTTTTTTTTTTAATTTTCCAGATTCTTTGATAGATTCTTCATTTCTTTTTTTCTTTCTTTCTTTTCTTTCTTTTCTTTCTTTCTTTCTTTCTTTTTTTTTAATTTTTTTTTCTTGTCTTTCTATTTTCTTTCTTTTTAACGGAGTTTTTTTTTGATTTTTTTTTTTTTTATTTCTTCTTTCTGGGATATTTAGTTCTTTCTTTAAAAATTTTCTTTATTTTTAAAATTCTTTCTTTAAATTCTGGATTGGAAAAGTTTTCTTTTTCTTTCTTTTTTTGTTTCTTTCTTTTTCTTTCTTTTCCAATTGAATTTTTTTTCTTTGGTCTTCTTTACTTTGACTACAATGTAATTATTTTTTTCATTTTGCAATTTTCTTTTTTATAATATTTTTTCTTTTTTTCTAACATTTTTTTAGAAAAGATATATTTCCCTTCTTTCTTTCTTTACAGATTTTTTTTTTCTTTTAAAAATCCTTTTTTTTTTTTCTGATGTGTATCTAAAAGTTGAAAATATTCAAAAATTCTATTCTTTCTTTCTCATTTATTAAGATTACTTTTTAACTGGTCGAAAAATTCTTTGGGAAATTTTTATTCAAATTCAATCTTTTTTAGATGGCAATTATTAAAAATGAGGTCAACATCTTTTATTTAATAACCTTATTTTTATTAAAAAAATATTAAATAAATTCTTTCTTTATAAAACTAATGTAAATGTTTTCATATTGCGAAAGTTTAATTCCAGTTCTATTTAATTATTTTAATATATTAATAAATGATTTATTTGATTTCTTAAAATTATCCACGCCAGGATATGTTTTGTAAATTGTGTGTTTTATAATATTGTGTGTATAAAGTCAGTGTGTGTCTGTGTGTGTGTCAATTATCAAATCAATATATTTTTTTTTTAACTTAAATATAGAGATATTTAAAATTTTTTTTTTTTCCTTTTTTATTCTGTGTTTTGGAATAAAATTTTTTTTAATACCAAAATTTAAATTTATGGATCTTTAAACACTTTTTTTATATTCCTGTGGATTTAAAATTTAATAAATCAATGAATAATATTTGAGACAATTATAATCATATTTCTCTGAATCTTTTCTTTCCTATATTTAAATATTCTCTATATAATTTAAATAACTTATATTGAAAAAAAATTGAATAAAGATCCCTTTATTTTTGAGCTTCAAGAAGATTCAACAGTTTAATTAATATTCATCAAATGTGAGAATTCAGAGATTTTTTTAAACACAAAATTTTCTCAATCTTTTTTTAAGAATTTTTTTAATTAAATTAATCATTTTTCTTTCAATATTGTTTATTTTTTTCTTCATATTTTGTTCAATTAATTTTTTTTTTTTTTAAATTATGAATTTCACCAATTTGAAATTTAAAGAATTTTTGGACAATTTGAATTGGTTTGAGGGTAATAATTTTATGTTTTTTAGAAATTTCATCACAATAAAGGGATGATTTAATTAAAAATTTAAAATATATAATTATCATAACACATAAATTTTAATGTTTGATGGTAAAAAAAAATCTTAAATAAACGCTAGGATGGGTTTTTACACCATTTTCATGTTAAAAAAAATGGTAAACGATCAATTGATTTGAAACTTTGATAAAATAAATCCTGCACCCTTTTTTTTGATTTGTTTCTTTTCTCTCTCTCTATCATCTATCTCCATTTATTTATCTATATATCTATCACCTCATATTTTTTATTTATTCCTCTAATTAAAGTGACCATATTTATCATTTTTTATATATGGTATATCTATATAAAATATTTTTTTATTTTATCAATGGATGATAAATAAATTTCTAATAATTGCAATATTGATAATGGATTATAAATAAATTCCGTCTGAAAATATTTCATTCAACCTAAAAATAAGTTTAATTATGATATTTCAAAATTTTTTCATTTTCTTCAGAAAAAATAATCGAAAAAATTTTTTTTTAAAATGATAAATTGTTTTTTTTTTTTTTTTTGAACTGATAATTTATATATATTATATTTATATATATATATATGATAAATTATATCTATTATTATAATATATTGGTATATATATAAATATATATATATATAAAACATTTTATTTTAACAAAATACTCGTGATAAAAGATTATATATATTTCAATATTATATATTCCCCTTTAATATATTTTTATTTTCTTTTATTTTTTATTAATATTATAAATCTATATTTCAATGATTTTTATATTAAAATACATGTTTGTATATATATATTTATTTTATTTTAATTTTCATGGCAATAATATATATATATATTAATGTTATTATATATATATATATATATATATATATATATATATATATATATATATTAATATTAAGAATATATATATATTATTTTGCATAAATTTATATATATAAAATATTTCTATATATATGATTAATCAAATTTTAATTGGATTTTATTTTATATTTTTTTTTTTTTATAAAAAATTTTCATTCTATTTTAAATTTTAATTGAAATTAAATTTTCATGAAAATTTCTAAAATATCAAAACAAAGAATTAAAGATTTTTTTTCTTACTGTTTTTTAAAAATTTTCTATATATATATATATATATATAAATATATATTATTTATATATATAATTTAATTTTATAATTATATGTTTACATACCTTATTATAAAAACTTAAAATCAAAATATAAAATGATTATCGTTTTTGACTTTTTATTTGATTTTTTTTCAGAAAATTTTTTAAATAAACATTTTTTTCCATTATATTTTTTTATTTTTTATCATTATTACGGTATAATAAATATAATAAAATATTTCATAAATAAAAAAATACAAACATTTTAACATTAAATTTAATATAAATTTAACAATTCATAAAATGTAAATATTTAATTTTAATAAAAAAGATATTTAAAAAATAATCATATTTTTGCGAAAAATTCAAATTTTCTTTAGAAACCTTTATATGAATATATTTTTATATAATATAATATATCTAACTATAAAATGAATAACAATAAATTTATCACTTTGAGAAATGTTATTTTTCAAACTTAATCAATTTGTTTTTGTCTTTTGGTATTTTTCAAAATGATTTCAAGCATATATTTATTCGTATAAATGTTATATTCATAGAAATTTTTTTTTTTATAAATTTTATACATCAATTTGTTTATTTTATATATATGAAAATAAATGAAAAATCAAAATATATTTTTAATATTCATATATATATATATATATATTTATATATATATATATATATATATATATATATATATATATATATACACTGCGTGCCAAATTATTATCGAGATAACTTTTTTTTCTAATATTCCAAAAACCATCCAATCAATTCACACGAAATTTTTACACAATGTTGGCAACACTGACCTGCGCAATCACTGCATACTGATATGCGCAATGTAAACAAACTGGCGCCATATTTGTTATCAGCACGGTGATTTCAGCGTGCCAAATTATTAGAAAAGTGTAAGAATTTAGTGAAAAGATGGGCCGTAAAAGCGGTTTAAGTGATGCTGAAAAAAAAACTATCACCTCAGAACTCTCAAAAGGTAAATCTACCCTAGAAATTTCTAAAATGATAGGGAGGTGTCATCAAACAGTGAAAAAAAATTCACCGCCGACCCTACACAAGTACGCAAAAAGGGCAGATAAAAGGCAAGCCGAGGGTTATTTCACGTCGTCTCATGTCACGACTTAAACGAGAGGCCACGAAGAACCCTGGACTTACCAGTCAAGAGCTTTTCAGTCGCATTGGGGATCCTACTGTGTCTAAAAAGTACTCGGTGTCGGTATCTGAGGGAAATAGCAACAACAGTCAAACCTGTATCGAAGCCTCCGTTGACGAGAAATCACATTCAAAATCGATTGAAATGGGCCGAGGACAATATGAAGATTGACTTCTCTAAAGTTTTGTTCACAGACGAAACTCGAGCAACACTTGATGGGCCAGATAGATGGTGCAAAGGCTGGGTAATGAACGGACAGAATCGCCATCAGCGTTTGAGACGCCAACAAGGCGGTGGAGGCATAATGATCTGGGGTGATATTATTGGAAAAACATTAGTGGGCCCATGGAGAGTACCAGATGGCGTCAAAATGACTGCTGATGCATACATAGCGTTTATGAAGGAGCATCTTGAACCGTGGATGAAAAGGCAAAGAGTTGCCTTCAGAAGGGCCATTGTTTTTTTTATGCAAGATAATGCTCCCTCACATGCTGCTCACAAGACTACTGAATATTTGAAACAGTTATGCTGTGATGGACCTTGAAAAATGAAGTGGCTAGCAAATTCTCCGGATTTGA